ATAACGTGTGATGCAAAAATAAATAAAAACCAAATCAATAAAATTAAATAAAAATCATGCTATACATTTGGAAATAAATATTGGTTAATTTTTGGAAACGTATTTCACAGCGTTATTTAAGATCAAGAGTACCATTTGATTCGATACCACTTTTATATATTATATCGTATATAGACAGAACTTTTACATTTAGCAGAACATTTAAAAAAATCTGAGGTGGACACCACATGACTTCCTTGTACGGCCTATTAAATTATACACTTTTTGGAACACTTTGTTTAAACTTATTTCCCTGAATTTCATTAGAGATGTATTTCGCATTCAATTAATTCAGCTCTCACTTCGCTGCAAGTCAAAAATACATGAAACTCAAAGCGCCTTCATTAAAAATTGTAAAATACAGGAAAACATAAAACACCAAATATAGTTTAAAACAGTTGAAACATTTTTTTTTTTTTTACAATTAGAGTTTCTAACGATTAACAAGTAATTCGGCCAGCGGGCAAGAAAACAGATTTTTCGGTGCACAAATTTGAACGATTTCGTGGTCCCACTCGACAAAAAGATGGTGACGTTGGTGCACAAACTGACTCAATTCATTATTCTCTTAAGAGTTTTAAATGTAAATAAATAGCTACTTCGTTAGGTTATCACTTCAACAATTTTTAAGTTATTCATAATTCTACAGCTATTGCATGCAGATTAACTAAAGGTATAAAAAAACTTCAACCAGAATATAAGAGCAACATAATTTGATCACTATTTAAAGCAAAAAATGCACAATTTATCAACATATAAGAATAAAAAGACTGAGCTCATCAAACCGAGTAATAGAGTGTGTGTGTGAGTATATATATATACCTCTGGTGCGGCCGATTGCAACCAAAAAAGTAGGTGCACAACTATATGTTATAGCATTCCCATGTACAAAATTTCAACGTTCTGAGGGTACTCTTTTTTGTTTTATGCCAGATACATACATATGTAAGTATGTATAGACGTCACGAGAAAAATCTCTTCTGAATCTATTTTACAATCCGTTTTTGAGAAAAAAGTCCTTTATTTTGCCCAGATGTCACGCAAAGAAAATATCGTCCAAATGGTTTCGAGAGCGGTCAAAATGGATATTTTCGTTGAAGTATGATACCCGAAATTTTTCGCTATTACATTACTTTGTACAGGAAGTAAAAAGAATCGCTTGCTATCGAAACTGTTTGTTCAGCATTGACAGGCGGCAGAGCCATTAATTTATTTAGAAGCAGGAGTCGTGAAAAATGAGCAATGCCGTCGCCGGGACTTGAACAATGGACCTTTTGAATATGCGTCGAGCGTACTGATCACCACACCACGAAGACATGCTAAGAAGGCGGGAGAAATATCTGATAAGGTAGCAATAAGCGACTTAATGAATTTTCTCGAAATGAATATTTTCTTGTATTCTAAAAACCTAGAAGTGCTTCGTAGTTTGAATTTTGGAATTAGATTACTTTTTCATAGCGTTTTTTGAAAATCCTTATGCAAAGTATTATAAAAGTAATTTTAATATAAACATAACTTTTCAGTTAAGATAAAAATTTGAAAAAAATGGAAAATACATAAAATTCACCTATTTACTCGACTTTACGCAGAAATTTAATATTTTTCAAATCTTAGAAAAATCGCCAAAAATTTTCAATAATAGTTTTGGAAATTCGCGACGAAATGTAATTATTGTCATATCTGTTATATCCAGGAAAACGTTCAAGCATTTTTCATCTTTTATTCTAGTTACAAATACGTTTTTCGTGTGCAAGTAATGACTCTTCCTTAAACATTAAAATTGTGTCCATTTATGTAATTTGAAAGTATTATTAAATTTTGCATGTAAGATAGAAACAGCAATCATACTGAAAACTAGCTTTTAAATTTTATGATAGAAATATAAAAATAACATTTGAATAATAGCTTTAAACTTTGCAGTCACACTAGAGACAAATGGGAAAAAAGTTTCAAAAAAATTTAACATGTTGTATTCTGTGTCTTAATTATTGTGTCTTAATGTTGTATTTTCTCCTCAATGTTATGTTCAACTGGTTACGAGTTAGTAAGATAACTGAAAATTGATAATTCATTTTGTATTCGCTTTCGGAAGCTAATAAGCCGGTTACTGGGATTTTCGGGGTTTATTTCCTAGAAGCAGCAGTTGCAAATTTCCTTACAGCATAGGAAAAACTTAAAAAAAATATCCAGGCCTGAAAGCATGCAACAGCTTTATAATTATTTGGAACGTTAATTATGCTTGATAAATATGCTAAATTTTTAAAAATTAATCCCGGTTTCAAAAATAAAAATGTCTAAAAATTCTATTTCTTGAAATGAGGCGCTACAATCAACTTTTTGTTGACAATTATACGTGCTGCAATAGCCAATCATAGCTAAGTTTCTGCACGCCGTCTCTTCTTCTTCGGATGTGGTCAAGGGGACAAGTGCCAGACGAGGGAGAAAACCCATTTGGGTTGGTCTATTTCTTATAAGGTCCATGGAGGAGTGCCGCAACCAACATGCACGTAACATGAGTGTAGTTGTATTGGCTGTGGGCTGTAGTTGATCGTAGTTGTATTGGTTGTGGTCGGCCGATACAACTACAATCAACTACATCCAGCTGTGGAGGAGTCCGAAGAAACCTCTCTCCTTCATTTAGAAGCGAGTGAACCCACAGCGGCTTACTTATCAGTCGAAGGTAATTTTATGTATTCGATGAAACGCAAATTGGAGATTATTAAGTACGTGATAATATCTTGACATTCATTATATATCATGCTTTAAGACTTCAAATATCTGAGCTTACTTTTCGTAACGCTATAAGGTATTTCCCCCATCTTCTTAGCATCACTTTCTTACACCCTGTTCATTCAAAATAAATATTCGTTCACTATTTGTTATTCAAAATGTGTATTATACATTACACAAAGCAACCATAATTTAATTTTACTAATTCTAGTACATCTACACTGTTGTGGAATAGTAGGCGAAAATTAAGCTATAACATAAAATAGCATACGCACGTGTGGTACCATTCTCTTTTACATAGCAATATGTGGTTGCCTAGTACTTAAAACCACTAAATCCTCATCTGAACGATTCCTTAGACGGGACTAGTGTGTTTCGGTCACAAGGAGTAAGTTGAGCTTTGTTGCTAGGCAACCAAACTTTGCTGGGCTTAAGGAGTTTAGACACTGCTGGATTTTCATAAAAGCTGGTTTAAGGATTTTGCCTAAATATTCTAATTTTTGACATAATTTGGATATAAGAACTTACCAGCAAGGCTGTGGTGTCGGAGTCATGGAGTGGGAATCGGAGTCGGGAAGATTTTAGGGTAAAAGGAGTCTGAGCTGGAGTCACTAAAAACAGGTCGACTCCGACTCCAGTTTTTGTTGGACAGTTTGAATTTGAAATGAAATTTGAATTAATTGAAAAAATTAATAACAAGCTGAGTTATTATTTTTATTTATGGACAATATACATTAATAAATAGTTGTTTTCTATTTTATTGACATATTAATAAATAAATATAGGGGAGGAAGAGGGATCTGATATTTGCCATTAGTGATTAAACTGATTCATTTAGTTACTTCATTTAGTTTGTAGAGACATTAGGTACTTTTGGAAGCAGGAAAAGGAAAAATAGCAAACGCCTTCGCCGGGAATCAAACCACGGACGTCTGGAATACCGGGCCAGCGTACAGAACCACTACACCACGAAGGCACTCCAGGAGAGTGGGAGAAATGCCTTATAAGTTACAAATCTCACTGGTAAATTTAGGTAAGCAACAAGAACTCCCCAAATTGATGCCATTCTTAGGAAGCGAGCAGGAAAAGGAGCAATTATTGATCAAGCACCTCGATAAGGAAGTACATATTTTATGATAAAGAGGTTGTTAGAATTGAGAACCTTTTTAGAAGATGTAGGTAATCCTAATGTTTCACTAACAGAAAGACTGTGGAATGATCTTGCAGAATTGGAAACTCTTCTTTCTACAGCGTACATAGCCACAAAAAAGCTGCAATCTGAAGAATTGACAGAAGCCGAGAATAGAAGAATGTGATGTTTGTTCTTTCTGAAATGGAGAGTTTATTGCAGAAGGAATTATTTCTTCATTGAAGAAAAGAAAAACTAATTTGCTAGACAATGAGATCTTGCCGGGTTCAATATATATAGATTCGAAACACCGAATTTTCTTGAAGGACGAACAAATTAAAAAGGCAAAGAAAGCCATCTATGAACTTTCATTAAGAATGAAATTATTCTCAGAACAATTGGAGAATTCGAGTCAGGACTGTAAAACTGTAGACATTGCAATTGAGCCTCTATCATCCTCTTCCAGTGATAAATTAGATTTTGAGAAATATATTTGGATAATATTGAAAAGAATAAGGCAAAGCAAATGAAAATAAAGAACGAAGAGCCTTTAGATATAAAAATGAAAAAAGTACAAACAAGATTTCTACACGGCCTTTGAAGAAATAAAGAAATACGATTGCACTTGCAAGACACCTCTTTTAGAACTTAAAAATCTATCTGAAAATTTAAAGAAGTAGCCCTAACAGAAACTGCTCTTTCTCCTACTCAAGTTAGTGTGGAAAGACTCTTATCAGCTCTGAAGATTATCAAATCGGATCTATGGCCCTCCAACAAAGAAAATCTTGCCGAAGCTATACTGTTTCTTAGAAATAACTAATGCCAGTGTTTCCATTTCATAATAAATGCTAATTATTATAAATAATTTGCTATCCCATCAATTGTTTTTCTGTAGCATCTATTACTTCTTTTATATTAAAAAATAAGCTGTAACCCATGTGTATTATATATATATATATGAGGGAGTCGGAGTAGAGTAGGAGTCAGAGTCTTTAAAATTCCAGGAGTCGGAGTCGGTCCTTTTCCCTACCGACTCCCCAGCCCTGATCCTGACACACTGAATACTTTAATCATTTAGCTTTCAAAACGGAAGTATACTTACGGGTAATCCTGGCGTGAAAACGTTAATGAAAAGACAATCCTCCGCTCCTTTCATTCGACCTTGATTGTCCCATTGAGGGCATATGGATCTATAATCTCTGGCATCAAGAGTACCCGCCCATCCTGGGTACATAAGAGGTTCCTGAAAGTAAAGAAAAAAAATTTAATTAAGCGAAAAAATAAGTTGTACTACGCTTCAATGAGGTATAATGACATTGCTAGAACATCTTGGAACTTCATTCTGAGATTCATTAAGTCAGTCAAAAAAAATCGCTGTTTTACCTAGCAATCGTTCCCCCCCCTAAAAAAAGAGAAAGAGACACCCTATGGTTTACGCGTATTATTGAGCTCAAACTGAAAAGTATTGATATAGTTGATATCTCACTGATATAACTTTCGCCACGGAAATGAAAGTTCATCAATATACCGTCTCATAAAATATTAAACATTGTAAAACTCTTATTCTGCCTTATATTTCTGTCGAATCGCTCTTAATTCTTAATAATGATAATAATAAAAGATCCTTAAGATTTTACATAATTATAACACTTCCTAATAATAACGCATTAAGGAAAATCATAAAGGGAGAGCAGAATTAGTACAATATGAGCTGTAAATATGTTACATAAAATTCACAGATCTTGGAAAGAAATTATAAGGGACTGAAAGATCTAATGAAAAAAATTGTATACTACATTGTTGACCATTATATATGGAGTTGCTATACCATGAAGAAAGCATACAACAGCTTTGAAATATCTATGAAAAGCAGAACGTGTTGGCATATGCAAATGACCAGTATTTCATGGTATGCGCAAGTAACAAGCAAGAGTAATGAAATTTCGAACTGATAGAAAAGTACAGGTTGAAATGACGATTGTTTATTCATAAAACGCACCTGCTTTTGTTTTGGCACTGGAAATTGTGTTATGCGTTGTGTAAGAAGGAGCATATCTCAGCACGTCTCATATAATCTCATTGCTTGTAAATCGTAACCTACCAGGATAGTAGGAAAAGCATCAATAGGCCAGTCAGAAACCACATACTACTTACTCTCCTCTGCGTTTCATACGTATTTGTTTTCTGCCTTTGTCGGCGCATTTTCGAGATTTCTCAACAGGAAACGCTTGACAGTTCGATCGCAGAAAAATCATAATTTATCGGGACTGGTAATTCGTAACGCCGACTGCTAATGTTAATCTAGAACCAATGACTGTTAGGAGAATTTGCAATCAGTGTGTTCAATTGCAGTTATGAGAATTTGCAGTCAGGACCCGTGTGCACACAGAACAACTTGCGGGATCTCTCTTGCCAGCACTAATCAATGCCCTTAACAATAAACATCTTGTCTGCACTCCTTGTAGGAACCGTACAAATACTTCACGTACTCTGGGTGAGAAACCTTGGTGCGTTCCACAACGCCAAGTATCCGAATGTATGATGCGACTACCTCTGCAACTCAGTTTGTTTTTTTGTTAGTTTGCCAGCAAGACGACCTTTGTTTCAACGTTTATTACAGTGAATATATCGCCGTTTACAGATACAACAAAGGTATCGTTGATTACAGTGACACACATGAAGGCATGAATTACATTAGTCGTCTTTTACAACGAATTCGAAGCGCAGCATGATGGCAGGATTCGTTTGTGGAAGCTGTGAGAGGAACAAAAGAAAGTGGGAAGTATGCATTCTTGACAGACATTAACAGCTTAGCACCTAGATTAATGATATGCTGTGCCCAATGGGTAAACACCCTTTCCACGTTTAGTCCTCATACCGGTTATCTTGACCAGACACTCTTACATTACTAAACTTTTAGAGCCCCTGTGGCGGTGCCATACCTTCGATATCTACGTTACACTACTTTTAGCAGGACTGTACGAAAATTGTTTACGCTCTCTCTCTCACGTTTCGAATGTTTCATACAGGGTGCTTGTCTCCTGCTTTGTCGGCACATTTTCGAGATCTCTTAGCTACAAAATCTGTTACCTAGTAGGATGGATGAACTCTGGCACAAATAGGAAATAGTGTGGTCTATACTTTTCCAAAATAGTATCCAAAGTCTGTTCATGCTCAGCCGTATAGCATCTGCTGTTGTTGCCAGACATGGATGTTTAGCGTACAGATTTCTACATATTCGCTACCTCAAAGCTATCTAGAATTTTAATCATGCCATTTTTCCAATACAATGTATTTGCGCACTAAAAATGATTCTGCCCACAGCGTTTCTCCTTCTTCTTAGTACGGCAAGTTTAATGTATAGCACTGTATCCGAGATGCATACTGAAGAGGTAGATCTACATTACTACATCACACAAGCAGAAAACCGTTAAGTATTTTGATCCTCTTTGTGAACGATATGCATTGTAGTTTTTTAAAACTCTAACGCTGGCAAAGTAAAAAGGCATCCTAATTCCAGAGGTTCATAATAAAATGCTTCTTTATGTTTTTGGGTGAATTCATGGAAAAATGTCTTCAATGGCAAGTTTTTTCTGGATGTTCGGGTAATCATAACTATTCATGTTATTAAGTTGCAACCGAGATGAGACATATTTTAACATCTTTACTCTTTGAAAAGATAAACCAACTATCTGCTACGGAAGAACGCAAGAGGTTAACAAAGGAACTACAGATACGATTTGCTAGCGCTGCCTTAATTAATTAATCAACCAAACGGTCAGTTTTCCAAAACTCTTGTTCTTCTAAGATCGTATGCTTTTTTGGAGCACCGAAAGGGTCAACTCCTCTTCGTAATTTAAATTTGAAAATTATTTATCATCCTCAGATAAGTTCTGAGATAAAAATTTACCCGAATTTTACATGTTCATAATTAGGTATCCCAATTTAAAAATCGTTTGAATAATTAATACGTTTTTTGCAAACATTCTTAACAAAGTTTGTTGATTTTTAATCGTTTGAATAATTAATATGTTTCTTGCAAGTAATCTTAACAAAATTTGTTGATTTTTAAATATCACGTTATATTCATCGATACGATTTTATGCTTACAAACTTTAAATATATTCCTTTCATTTTGACAATGGTGACATCCTAAAAGTATTGTCAAGATAAAATATTACGTATGCAATTAAAGATTTATCAATTTCATTTTCTGTAAATTAAACCGACAAGAACTCATCAGAATTTCAGATATTTTATAATAACGTCATTTATCAAGATATACTCCGATTTAAGTAAAACTAATAACTTTATCGTAACATTCATTTAATATTCATTGTTTCCAAGATATCCAAAAGTTTATCTTACGGATACTCAAAGTATTTAAATTGTTCTTATAATAGGGAGTAAAGATAATGTAGAAGCATTTCACCTATTATAAAGAGTTTGCGATGTGTATTACGAAGAAATAAGTTGCACTTCAATCTAATGTGCAATTTAGACTAAAAGCATAACAAATAAATATGTAGTTTGAAACAATAAATAATATTTTTTATATATTTTAATTGATGAGAGCAGATACAAAGCAGTTCTGTTAAAATTTTCTAAAGAAAATGAATGAAGTACCACCTGGTTAAGCTAGAACAGATGATAGTGTAACTGTTGCAGACTTGCACATCCGAATTAGGCAGACGATAAAATTATAGTCACATCAATTGTGCTTTTGAAAGCGTGGATTGAAATAGAATATCACTCAAACATGGGTCGAACTACAAATGGCAGTGGCATATCAAAGTTGTAGTCAAGTTCTCCCAGATACAAACAGTTCTCAACATGTCAATAGTAGCAGCTGCTGCTGTGATGCATTGTTTAAGATCGTCGAAATTTATAGGATGGTAAGGAACTAAAGCTATGTCCTTGTTATACCTACAAGACGTAATCACATGGTATCACATTTGTTTTAGGTTACTTTTGTTTACATTTTTTATTTTTCAAATATCAGTTATTAAATACTAACGAAATAACATTATTTTTTTCATGTATACTGTTAATCATCCATTTTTGAAACTTGCTTGGCTTGTAAAATGTTATTCAAAAGTTGTTTTTGATAAAAAAAAATAATTTATTTAAAATGTTCTGAAAATGAATTCACATTAGTACTCGGACACTTTGAACTAGCAGTTTAAAAATAATAAAAACATAAAAATAAAGGGACATTCAATATTTTGTTAGATAACCTTTAGCTATAATTATTCTTTTCATGCGCTTTTAACGTGGATTTAACTAATTGTTTTTCGAGCAACAATGATCGCTTTACTAAAAGCAGTTCCTCCGTAGGAATCGCTTTTACTAAAGCTTTCGAAGAAATTTCATGTTTCCTTATTCTTTATTCAACTCACTCCATATGTGTTAGACAGCCTTGTTGTGTAGCGAATTTAATTTAATTAAGTGATTCATAAAAATCAAAATTTTAAAGTTGTAATTATTCAAAATTTGAGCTACACAAGTTTGGTTATATTCTTTTTGGGTTATTAATTCTAGTGTAATATATTTTGGCTTTCCGAGTTTACGCGAACTGCGTCTTCAATCTTGTACACGCAAACAATGGATAAGTAATTTTGTTTCTGCGTAATAAACTCAGTTTTTCATGTCATAAATTAATTTGATTTCTTAGTATTTAAATCATAGTTGCAGAAAAATTAGCTCTTTAATTTGACATAACTTTCGTTTTCCGAACTTTAATTGCATTTCAGTTATGAGCTTTAATTAGTAGATTTTTTTCCGTTTTGCATTGTGATTTCTTTTGTGGGGGATGAAATGCCCTTTTCCGGTAGAAATTGTCGCTTTTTTCGAGTTTCAGCGTTCTTTCGTTGGGACCCTGCTTAAAGGGTTGTTGAAATTCCAAGTCTTCCCCATCGCACGAGGCGGGGTTATTTTGGCGGCGGCTTTGGCGGCTTAGATTTTCCGTTGAGGGTTTCAAAGTGGTGGATTTGGCGAGTTTGATAACATGAGGGTATGCTGTGATTGCAAACTATTTCAACTTTCGGCGAAAAATGTGTTGCGCCAACTTGGCAGTCCGGCACTCTCCCTTTTAACGGGTTGTTTTAGGGGACGAGCTCACTTTTTTCACTTTTTACACTTTTTGCACTTTCTACTTACCATCTGACGCTGTCTCGTTGGCAGCAGAATTTCATCTCGGAAAATGCATTTTTCCGTCTTTGGATCTACGGGCCTCTTGCCCT